CTTAACAACGTGAAAGAGCTTTATTTTCCTTCATTTCCGTTAGCTAATGCACTTCCTCTTGCAGTGATTTAATTGCATTTGATAAAGCAGAAGCAGACACACGCTTTTAGGTGCCTGCGGGGAAGGGATTCCCTTCAGTTACCCAACTGGGCACCAAACCCTCCTTAGAACTGAAGAGAATGCGAAAGCGAGGCGGGAGCGCCCCCTGGTGTCCGCGCGGCGAGGACCGCCCCGCTTCCCGCCCTTTTCTCTGAGGCGGCCGCAGGTGTTTCCCCGCAGTTCCTCAGCGCCGCCGCCAGATGGGGGTGTGGGAAATGGCGGTCTGAGAGGAGGGCGCTGCCCTCGCCTGTCACGCCGCCAGGACCCAGCTGTGCTGAACCCACTGATGATTAACAGGACCTGGCAAGGTGCTAAGCCAGAGCTGGCGTTTAGCTGCCTCGTTAATACTCAATTAATCGAGCGCCAGGCTTGCCTAGGCGGCCTTCATCTCCAGTCAGGCCTCCCCTTGCCCCACATTGGTGTGAGGAGATCTCTGCTGGCAGGGCGCCTTCCCCTCACACGCTGCACGTCTTGCTCTTAAGCATCTCTCCGTAGCCTAACGCAGAAGCTATCTCAATCCACGTCACTTCTCACTAATAATCAGTTATACTGACAGTGTGGAGTTTTACAGTCTGATTCACAGCGAGTTCAGGGATTCCCGCCCCGTTTCAGAGCGTCTGTTTGGTCTTTGTACACAGATTTATTAGAATCGCTCTATCTGGATGCCCTGCCTCTTCTGCTTTGCTCACGTAAACCTCACATCGTGTGAGACAGAACGCAGGTCCTGCCCTGCTGTGTAGCAGCTGGGTCGAATGGCCCCAGATACAGTTCCCATGGGTTGGCTTTATCAGCACCCGTGTGGGTTAGCAGATCTTTTGTGTTGGGCTCACAGACCTTTGCTCTGATGGCGTTTAGTTGTGCCATCGTTGGGTCACTTTTCTATAGGGATACAACTTTGCCAGCAGCGTAACCTCAGAAGGTGTTTAGGAGAAAGTTGCTGAAGCCAATATAGAAAAGCTGAGGGTACAGCAGTGCTTTGAGAGGCTTTTTTAAAAATTATTTTATTGTCAGCACACATTCCTAATGCAACTCTGGGGCTGCTGCCATTGCCCAGGGAATGAAGCACGACCTGCAGGTCCAGTTCAGTAACCTTTCTTTGTTGTGCGTGTTTGAGACGGCGTCTGAGCAGTCAGAAAAGCTCGGGGAAGCAGCCCAGGCCATTCCAATCACAAGGAGCTCGTAAACCAGGAGGAGGAATCTCTGGTAGAGTTGGATGGCGCTGACACGGCTCAAATATTTGATTTAGAAATCGTTTTGTTGAGGGATGATGCATTCTCGTTAATTATCTGTTGAGGTGGCCCTGGACATCCTTGAGCATGAAATGGATGCGTTTACTTAAAGTTACAGGGTTGGTTTTGTTTGTTTATTGCGATGGTTAATAGAGATGTGCTGATTACCCACTGCTTTTGCCATATTCTTCATAAAACCCTGCACTAATTATGAGCTGAGGTCTTAGCGAGGTTCACAATATATGTAGGATGTTGTACAGCAATTCCAAAGGTTATCACACATAGTAATGAACTTACACAGATGTTTTCTTTTCCTAAACCTCGATGTCTTGCTAAGGGAGGATCACGGTGCCTGCATCAACAGTTAGCCAGACACAACAGCTAATCGTAGCCATAGATATTTCATGTCACTACTTCTTGTTGCTGGGGATTGTAAGCAGTTCTTATGAAACATTTATGTAGTCGAGAGGCAGCGCCCAGGTAGCAGATGCTCCTCCTCCTTTAATAATTTACAGTGATGGGAGGGAGGCGGGGAGCGGGACGGGACCCCCAGCGGTGTCAGCGCGTCCGGGCGCTGCGATGCACGGCAGCCTTTTACGTAACGCGGGGCCGCCGCTCCGCACCTGGAGCCCGGGGCGCGCCGCCGCCAGCAGGAGGCGGGAGCGGCGCGGGAGCGCGCTCTGCCGCGGGCCTATCGCTGCCGGCGGGCGGACCGCCCTCATCCCTCTAGCCAATGGCAACGCACGGCAGTGCGCTGCGCAGCCAATGGGCTTCGGGCTCGTACCCCGCGGCTGGTGGGGCCGTGCTGGCGGAGGAGCCCCGCTGGCCGCGGCCCAGCCCCGCCCGCCGGTGCCGGCGCTGCCCGTGGGCCGGTCCCCGTGCAGCCGCCAGCGCGCGCCCCGCCCGCCACGTGACCTTCCGCTACCGCGTGGGGTGGGAGGGCGCCCGCCTGACCGGGGTCTCGCTTCCCGTGAGCAGTGCCGCGGCTGCTGCTGGGCAGAGCCAGAGGGATGGTGGTAGTCACAGGGCAGAGCAAAGGGAGCGGAGACCCGGATGAGGCCATGTCGAGCTCGGATGCAGAGGATGACTTCCAAGAGCCAGCCACTCCCACGGCCACCCAGGCGGGCCAGGCGCTGCCGCTGCTGCCCCAGCAGGTAAGGGCTGCTCGCTGCCCAGCCCCGGGCGTCGCGGCTCCCGCAGCTCAGCGCCACGAACCCGCGTCTCTCCTGGGCTGTCAGCGCACGTCCAGCTCGGTTTGGAGCCAAGCCCTTGAATTACAGCGATTGCTCCCCATCTCCGTCCCTGCTTGAGCTTGACAAATACGAATAAGTCTTTATTCTGACAGCGAGGCAGCTTATAGTGTGATGCAATGTGATGCTAAGATTTTGGGGCCTGCTGTCAGCCTCATTTAAGTGCAGAATCACTGATTTGCCAGTGTGCTGTAAGGGAACCAATGGAGAAGCAGCCAAGTGCAGGTGCCAGGGTTGGCCTGGGAGTGTGTACCTCCTCCCCTTTTTATTTTTCTGCATGGGAAAGGAGGAGTTGTTGTTTTGTTTTGTTTCTGATTTATTTTCTTCCTCAAAATGCTGAAAGGAGGCATTCACACTTTTAACAGATATCTGGTATGAAAGCTGTAGTGACCAGTGCTGTTCCAGATTTCTGTCTAAAATTCACCCAGACAACATCCAGGGTATATAAGGTGTTGACCCATGAAGCTCACTGCTTTGTGGCAGCAGGGCAGAGACATTTGTCAGACCAAGTTTTGTCACGGTGGCACAGATTGTATGCTGGGTCTTCTACAAATCCCTATTCTCTTGGCCTGTGCATAACTACAAAGCATTGGAGGCTCATTTCTGACAGTGTGATCGCTTTTCCAGTTCCCAGAAGTCATTCCACTGAATGTAGGAGGCATGTATTTCACTACAAGGCTGTCAACGCTGAGGCGTTACGAGGACACGATGTTGGCGGCGATGTTCAGCGGAAGGCATTACATCCCCACGGACGCCGAAGGCAGATACTTCATTGACAGAGATGGAACTTACTTTGGGTACGTGCAGTGTCCTCAGTATGCTTCCAAAGTGGTGACTGAGGGAAAGGAAAACTAAGTTTTATGCTTGTTTTTTCTAGTTGAATGATGTCTGCGGAGTAGGTTTTAGGAAAATGGCGTTGGTGTGCATCCATGCCTTAAAAATCTCTGAGAAAAAATGAATTGCAGCACGTCGCCATTGGAAATGATTTATTTTGTTCTTAAGGGCTTAAGCTTTACAGTGGAGAAGGAAAAGCAGCTGATAATGTTCTAGAGGACAAATTCACGTCATCTGCTTTGGAACATCTGCTCTCAGAGAATCAAGCTGTTTTGCTGCTTTAAAAAGTGACGTATTTGGCACTTGACTGGTTTATACCAATCTACTCCATTAAAATTACAGTGATTAAAGAAGTATTTTAGTTCCCCAAAAATTCCTGTTTTAATGAAGATCTTTTTTATGTTAATCACATTTTTCATTATCTATTTCCCCTGAATTGAATATGCAAGGGAAAGTATTATTAGGCTTTAACCAATGCATTTCTGACAATAAAAGTGGACTTCTAATGCAGTATCTGTGCCTGTGATGGGTTGTAGCTTTATAAGAAGAAAAAATTACCGAGGTACGTATGCTGTCTGGTAAGGGAATAACCTCTGGAGCTCTTCAGAAATACATTAGATTAAAGCACAACTGGGGGAGGGGGGCAAACAACACTTTAAAAAGTATTTCTTTGAATAATTTTTGCTGACAGTACCATATACTTTCAGGATTCGTTTTGAACTTTGTAGCCTGTGTGTAGCTTGTTTTATTTTTAATAAAAATAACCTTATGTTTCAATTCTGTTTGAAATGATGTGAGATCACTAGAAAAGACACACATCATTTCTTGCAGTGTTCATAGGTTAGGGTCACAAAGCATGCTTTGCAATTTAACTTAAGTTACTTGTTTGTCCTTGACATCTCCTTAGTCCTTCTCTGCTGAAGGATTGCTTAATTTTCATGGCATGTTTGAACTGTACCTTAATGTGGGACAGAAATAGATTTAGCCACTGTGAAAATATTTTTACATTTGGCAATTTAGAAGTTCCTGCCATCTTGTTGGAGAACCAATTCATTTGTGATGTTACTGATCTGAAGTCAAATTGTAGTGGGAGCAGAGAGCCAAGTTAGCACTTGTTACGTGAAGATAGCAGTAATGCTTGTTTTACTTGATATGGTCAGTAGTACTTGATTAATGCTTATCAGGTGATTTATTTTCCTCTTTAAAACTCCAGGGGTTTAACAGTGTGTCAGAATCACAAGGAAATATTATTTTTTTCTCTCTTTTTTTCTTATTGTATGAATGGATATAGCCCTGATCCTGTGAAAGGAGCACCTCCTTTGCAAATGTTCCATCCATTCACATGGAACCTTGGAGTGGGGTAAAACGTCCACATGTCAGATTCTCCAGGAAAACTAAATAAGTTTTTGTCCCAGATTGAAATTTGGAATACAGTGACTATGATTTCTTTCCCATAAAATGGCCTTTTCTATTTTAAGGGGTTACTCCCTCAACTTTTTGTTAAAAACATTGGCTGGAAATGTAACTCGTGCTTATTTGAGTTACTGAAGATTAAGGATTTCTGTCTCAGTAGAGTAAACAATGAATACACAGTGTTTCCTTTCCCACGCACAACAGTTTTGCTGGAAACTTGTTAATTCTCAGTGTTTTTGTCCTTCTTTCAGAGACATCCTTAACTTTCTGCGGTCTGGTGACCTGCCGCCCAGAGAGCGAGTGAGGTCAGTTTACAAGGAAGCTCAGTATTATTCCATAGGACCATTGCTAGACCATCTAGAGGATGTCCAACCTCTGAAAGGAGAGAAAGTGAGGCAAGCTTTCCTGGGCCTAATGCCATACTACAAAGGTAAATAAACAAAGCACTATTGACTGTTGTATCTGCCATGATTCAGATAGTTTACGTGGTGCTTTTAGGCCTCCTTTTAGACTAATTCCATTGTATGTCATAAGTTTCTTATGTATCTCCCATGCTGCTTAGGCCTCTGAGGCTTTCATGTGAGATTTGTTCCTGATGCATCTGAGGTTGTGAATTTTTTATGCTGTGTTCAAAGGGAGCCAGATCTAGGCCACAACATGCAAGGCTTATCACTGAGCAGGAGCATCTCTGTGCCTCCCTGTTTGCTCCATTAGAGCCTGCAATGGAATCAGTTCAGGCACATGGTGAGGACACCAAGCTCACAAGACAACGGAGACTGATTTAATGAATATAGAATGTAGCTGCATCCATCTTTGTGTTACTGCTAATACTATATTAACAATAACATGTAAACACTGAAGTAATGTATTTCACGTGAAAAAAGAATGGATTTAATTTCTTTCACTAGGTGTTTCATTGTTACTTTCAATTTTTGTTTCTTAGATCATTTGGAGCGGATAATTGAAATAGCAAAGCTTAGAGCTGTGCAAAGAAAAGCAAGATTTGCAAAACTGAAAGTCTGTGTCTTCAAAGAGGAGATGCCCATCACTCCTTATGAATGCCCACATTTCAATTCTTTACGTTTTGAAAGAAGTGAAAGTGAGGCAAAGCTGTTTGAACATCACTGTGAAGTGGATGTATCTTTTGGACCTTGGGAGGCTGTGGCTGATGTGTATGACCTTCTGCATTGTATTGTGACAGACCTGTCTGATAGAGGGATAACTGTGGATCATCAGTGTATTGGTGTGTGTGATAAACACCTGATAAATCACTATTACTGCAAGCGTCCTATCTATGAGTTCAAGATCACTTGGTGGTGAGTTGTTTTGTCCAGAATGGTGCAGGAGATGAAAGGACTTCTAGATGACAATTGCTTTTAATATTTTTGCAACATGTCTCTGGAAATGCATTGCTGCTAACATATATTGGAATCAGTCTGCTGAAATGTTGGCTAGTGCTTAGCTGTTCAGCAAAGAGGGACCTGTCACAGAGGTTGAAAAACCTCTGCAATATTAAAAAAACCAACCAAACAGCCTGAAACAAGACTGTTGGCTCAGGTACCTTAATGAGGCACAAAACAAAATCACCTCATGGAAATTATGGAGAGGAGTGTCTGACATTTATTTTTTAATGTGCCACCTACTGTGTGGCTGCAGTCCCATTGTCTGCAAAGTGGGTGTAATGGATCTCAGGTGCTAGTAAGTAATGCTGATAGAACGTGGTTCCATTTTACACACTTCAGAGTGTTCTAGTCACTATGTAGGCCTGCCACTTCATGGATTGAGTAACACCCCGCACAGAGATCCTGCAAGTGTAATTTTGGTGTAATAGACAATTAAAAAAAAATAGAGGAGTATTGTTGTGAAGATTAAGCTATATACATATTTTAAAAATTAAGAATCTGCATTGTATAATATTTAGTTGTTTCCGTTGTTATAAAAAGGAACAGCAGGTTTGGAGAATATTCCTTATTGCTTTTTGGAATAATTACCATTCATGAAAGACTTGTGCCTGTTTTTAGCCTTAGAAATTCTAAATGTTTACAGCATCTACAAAAAGAAACTATAGAATCAGGTCATTTGCAGAGGCTTTTGGTGAACGAGTAACTCCATGTGTACGTTCCTATTAGCAGAAGTATTAAGAATATTTAATGTGTATTATTTTATTACTGATTCTTTTTACAGTCTGTGCTATTAAACTTTGTTCTAGAGCTAGTCAAATGATGATATGAGACAAGTGCTTCCTTCTCCTCACCTCTTCAGTTAAATCTAACTTACAGCGTTCTTGCTGACACTTCTCTGTGTGATATCAGCACCTTTTTTTCTTCCTTCATATTCTGATATTTCTCCACTTACCCACTAGTGTATCTGGGAAGTACATTTATTTCCATGCTGAAAGAGGCAGCTTTTGCAGAGCCATGTTCTTTCCAGAAGGTAATTTTTGCACTTCTGACATTGATAACCATCTGCTGAAGCTCCATTTCTGTCTGTCCAAAGCTGAAAGATAGATGGAGCTGTCTGAAGATGCTGTGAGCTTCAGAAAATGCAACTATTGTTCAGAAAGACCCCACCTGAGGCAGCCTCACAGTAATCTTGAGGGGAGCTGGAAAGTACATGTCTGCATATTGAATTCCATTGGACTCGTTAATCCAAGATTCTTGCTTAATTAAACTTCTGACCAAAATACTTTAGACACATATTAATTATGATAATAAAAATGATCATTTACCTGAGATAATTCTTAGAATAATGATTAAAAACTTGACGTAAAATTGTCTCAAAAATATTTTGAGGAGGCTGATTGTTTGCATTGATTAATGTTCACACTTCTATGTGTTTAATTTAGGAATTTTTATTAAATGGTCTCTCAGAGTCGGGGACATAAAGTTTTTAAGAGCTCTTTACAAGTGCTTATGTGGAGTTCATTGCTGTCAGGTGCTGACTTTCAGGTCCAGAGTTGAAATTGTAAAGCACAGTGTTGGGAGGAGGGAGGTGAATGTCACTTAGGTGTATTTGAATCTATCAGTTCAAATTTCTTTGGATTTAATTGTTCCTTGAGTATTATTGTGTTACAAGTTCCTGTGCCTCTATTTGACTACCTACAATTACAAGTCAAACAAACTTTCCCTAAACTGAGAGGAAGCTTGCATGATATCTTTTCTGCTGCCTTCTCTCCCCCAAGAATCTTAAATTGCAACCACGGTTTGGAATAAAATGATGTAAAACCTTAAAGCTGAGGCTTAGAAAGTTTTGGCTGCCTGTAAACTTCTGAGTTTATTAGGGTATGCAATGAGAATCCCAGTTGTACTGGAATATTCTCTTGTTATTTTTCTGCTGCTTCCCATATCACACAGGACGTAACTCTGGTTTGAATTTCAGCACCACTTACTGACATGAAGCAGGCTGTTTTGACAGTGATTTCTTTATTTTTGGCTTAAAGTGGTGTTTAGCTGTTCTCCTAGAGAAACTGTGACAAAATTCCTGTTAGAACCATGTTTGTTATTTCTTAATGTGCACGTGTTGCTATTTTGTAAATTTTTTCCTGTTAACTGTTTAAATAAGTGAGAAAGTAAGGAAACTGCCTAACCCAAAAGGTGAAGGTGAAAATCTGGGTCTGTATCAATTGCATCTTAACTGAAACTTTCATCCTTTCATATCTTCCAGAGGACAGAAATAATTAAGTGCAATATTGAAGGAGGAAACACAGATTTGAGCCAATGTGCTTTCATTTAACTCATACATGGTGTGTGGTGATTTGTACAAGTTAGCAATACTGTTACTAACTACGCTTGTTCTAAGCAGTCTTTGTTTACAGTGCGTTGATTATATTGCCTAATGTGCATTTGGGTTTTGACAGAAACAGAAGAGTAGTGCAGGCACATGTCAGGGAGTGTCATCCATCACTGGTTTATATGACATAACTGACTTTTCCTGGATATAGCATGTGTTTTGAAATTCTGAGTTTGCAACAAAGATGTGAGTTTCTGATTACTAAATCAGTGTTTAAGATCATTGTTTTTTTATATCATAAATATGATATTATTGTCTAATTAAACTAAATACCTATGTAATACTGCTTTTTTTTTTTCCCTTCTTGTTCAGGAATTTCTTTATATCTGGCTAAAGGTCTTTTAGGACATACTTAACTGTTGCTCTGTGTTTTTGTCACTTTATTATCTTCTCTGCTACTCTACCACACACATAACCCTACAGACACCCTGTGGCTACAAGCTGCTGCACTGTTCTTGGCAATTTGGCCACACAGAGCATGGTTTCATGTTATCACTCTGATGTTCTGGTGGACATCATCTCTGCAAATATTAAAAGGACAATGTATGTCAGTCCATTGTCCATATTCACCGTGAAGGAAAGATGGTTTTCATTCCATGTTCTGAGACAGGATGAGTGCAATTTTGGTTCCAGATTGATGTTCAGGTACACATTTAGAAACAATTTTTATTTTTTTGCCCTTCTAAATGAGAAGTCTGAAATATTTTCAAAGTATGGATTGCATATCTGGATTTCAGAGCTTTCTCTGATTTTAATGAACAGCAGGGAGTGATTGTGAGATAGTCAGAGGGTTGTTGTTTAAAAAGTAGAGCTGTTAGATAGATTTGAAGTTGCTGTTTGTGTGAACACATGAAATATGTTTTTTTTTCTTTAGTGTAGTGCAAAAAGTAGTCTTAACACCAGTGCTTAGAATAAGTGACTTGGCCAGTTTCACAGTACATCAAACACTTTTGCATCGGTTTTGCTTTGTAACATGGGAAGGATACCTGTTTGTGAAACACTCATGATATAAAGATGATATTTGTGTGGTGGTGAGTATTCAACATTTATATAAGCATCCATTTAATGACTGCTGATTTCACCAGTTAAAAAACCAAACCAGCCCCCAAAGTAACTTGGTGCAAGCTCCTGAACTTGAATACCACCATATGTGATAATCTGAAAGACTCATTGCTGAGCCTCCATCTGCCTTGGAGGGAAGTGAAGGTGCCAGCATCCCTTATCCTGCTACGTGTTTTCTTCCAAAACTGCTTTTTAAAGCTGATTTTAACCACACCTGTTATCAGGGATCAGTTTCTGCATTGATGAGTTTTTGGGATTCCTTGAAGGGTTGTTAGGTTTCAATTCTAGGTTTCATAAGCTGTATTTCCTGCAGCAGAAAGTTTGGCATAACCCTTGTGATGGATCTTTAAATGGTAAAGAAGTGTGCCTGGGAGATACATCATGATATAGTAAATACATGTACTTGTTAGTGTGGATATTTGTGAGATTGTATTGGTTTTGTTTAGTTCTGTAGTACTAATTCCTGAAACTAATATGAGATACAAGGAGTTCAATGTTGGGCTTCTGATAAGCCTGCTTATGCCTTAAATGTCCCCTGTACTCATTGTGTAAGATCACTCATCTCAGAGTCATTCAGTACATGAAACAGTAAAGGCTATTATAGTTGCAGGAGAATTGAGAGTCCTTCCTGATTCTTTCCATGAGTTCTGTAGAGGATAAATTCCTAATGATTCAATTGCAGCCTCCATTCTTCTGATCTGCTTGGGTGAGGATGGCTTCAGCAGTGACGCCAAGCAGTCACTGGGTTAGCTCTGGCTAGCTGAAGTCCTTGGAGGCAAAAGTCAAAGACACCTCAGCATGTGAGAAATGGATAAGATTGTGAGATTTGCACACACACACAATCTGACTTTTAGTGAAGTGATTGTTAAATGTGCAGCAAATTCCAAAGGGTTTTGATACCTGAAACTGTTCCAAGTGATAGCTTTGTTAAACCGTAATCTAGTTGGAGCCCTATTGTTCTAATGTGTGTTTGTGTAAGATGTTCTGACCAGTTCTTTTGTGAATGGCTCTCACCATTATCTGTGTTTTCCCAGTGGAACCTGGAGCCGAGTGAGCACAGCTCACAGCCCCCCAAGCCTGAACACAGCTTGTTTTGCACATACCCTGTGCACTGAGTACGTGCTGCTTATTGCAACAGTTACAGTAGGAAGGAATTAGTTCTGCTGCTTATTTCCCCAGGAAAAAACCTTGCTAGGAATAGGAATACTTCGGTGAGATCCCGCTGTGCTTCCCCACATCTCTGTTTTTCAGATGCTTAAGGAGGTGAGGTGTCTTGCTAGAAGATCCATGATGAGATAAGAGCTCTCTGGATTGCTCCTGGTTCCTTCCCTTTTCTGTAACTTCTAAATGAACAATTTCTGTCTGCAGGACATGCAGTAATCCTCTCTTCTGCACTACTGCATTTTTTGCTCTGTGAACACCCACTCTGATGTTTGAACTTCTAAGGTATTACAAAAACACCTGAGGAATTTACACAATCCAGTCCTTGTGGCAGCCTGGTTAACCTTGGTGTGTTCTTCCAGTTCCTGTGTGTAGGTTCACGTTCCTGTGATAAACAAAGTCTGAGAAGATGCAGAGGCTGTGCACTGAACTGGGAAACACAGCAGTGACTGGTGAGGTGTCTGCTGGATCAGACTGCTTGAATTTCAGCATTGATTGACAATTTCATCTAAGCAAAGAAAAACCTCCTGTCTTTTCATTGCCTTTCTGAAATAAGCTAGTTTTCAGAGGATAATTATGATACAATGTTCTGTATGTACTCCTCTAACTGGAAATTGCTTTCCAGATCAGCAGTTCTTACTCATTTTACTTACACAGGTTTACTATCAGTTTACCTACCCTTCCACTGTGACTTTGCTGAAGTTGGGCGTCTGTATGCATTTTAGCCCCTAAAGCAATTGAAAACCCAGCCTGGATGCTAATGGTTGAGGTTTGCAGTTATCCTCAATTATTTTAATTAAGTTAATGTGCAATGTTTAATAGTGTGGGTACTGCAGTACTTTATTTCTTACTACACCTGGCTTCTCAGTACAGGTGATATACCCTCTATAAAAGACAAGAATGTGTACATGCAGCTTCTGTTGTGCAATCAATTATACTGAAAATAGCTGGGATGTGGCTGACCTGGGCTGCAGCTGCTGCTCTCCCCTTTTTTGCTCTGCGTGATTTGAGTTTGCCTTCCGTGACCACACGATAATTACGGTATCAGTCACCCTTCCAAGCTTTCCTTAAGGACATCAGCACTTCCCTGACAGATGGTCCTTGAGCACAGCGACTGCAATCTGATCATCGGAGTTCTTCCCTCCCCCCACACCCAGCCACACATGTGAGACAGCACCGCGGAGTTCCGAGCAGCTCTCCGCGCTCTAAAAGGAGCTCCGTTTCAGGATTTGTATAGCTGGCTGGGGCTGTTTTCCACTTCCTCAGCCCTTTGCTCTCGCTGTCCGATCCTCTTCCACACTCAGCCCGGCTCGCACCTCCCGTGTCACGCCGGCAGCGCTCACATCCCAGCGCACCTCCCCCGCCCGGCCCCGCCCCGGAAGTGACGTCAGCACGCTTCCGCGTGCGGCCGCAGAGCGGAAGAAGCGCGGTGCCGGGAGCGGAGCAGCGCGGGACGCGGGGACGGCCCCGCCACCGCCCGGGAAACGGTGAGCTGCTGTTCGGCCCTGCCCTGCTTCTCTGAGGGGATGGAGCCGGGCTGGTCCCTCCTGGGCAGCCTCTGTTCTTCCGTCCCGCTGAAGGCCCGGGTCGCTGTGGGTCGCGGGGCTGCGGCCGGGCCCGCCGGTACAGCCTGACAGCGCAGCTCCGTGGCACCGGTCATCTTTCTCCTTTCTCCTTTACCCCTTCCCCTTCTCCGGGTTGCAGCCGTCATTTTGAGCTTCGCAGATCTGTCCACTCAGCCTTTTCCCCTCTTCCTCTGTTTGTTTTCTCTTTTGGTTCCTTGTCCGTGAGCATTCCCATAATATCAAAGTTCTTGAAGCTGCAGCCGGGGCTCCGCGCGGTGCCCGGCTCACCGCCTGGGAGCGGCCGCGATGGGGTGAGGAATCGGGAAGTGAGGGACGTGCCCAGGTGCTCAGCCTGCCTCTGTGTGGGGCCCTGAGTCAGTCGGGCAGGTTGTGGCAGGCAGAGCCCAATCGCTGCTATGGGATGGATGGGGCATGGTGCCGAGCTGGTAGAGCTGCACAGTGTTGGAAAAAGGGGGTTCCTAATGGCAGCTCTGTTTTAAGTCTGTTGGTGACACTGTTCTGCTTTGCTCTCGCTGTTGAGAAACTGTCTTTGAAGCATTGCTATGCGTTGGCAGTTCCTTATGTTGGTGTTTGGGGCGTGTATGGAAAAGCTCTTGGCTCTCAGCTTGCTCACCTAGGTCACCTTCATGGCAGCCGGGGGCTGGAGGCTGAGCATGGCAGGACAGCTAACTGTAGCTCTGTGCACCTGACAGTGTCCTTGGGCTGCATCGGAAGAAGCACAGCCAGCAGGTGGAGGGAAGGGATCCTGCCCCTCTGCTGTGCTGGTGAGATCTTGCCTGGGGTGCTGCATCCAGGTTTGGAG